TTTCTGTCCAGTTGTTGGGATTTGACTGAAATTTTAGGGAAGTCTTCAGCTGACAATGTAATCGCTCAACTAGTCCATAGGCAATTGGGTGGTATGCCGTGGTACGAATGCGTTTAGTTCCAAGCATTCTGGTGAAAGCAAGGAACAGAGCGGATTCGAACTATGTACCACGGTCGGTTGTGATGGTGGATGGAACACCAAATGCAGCAACCCAGCTGGATATGAATGCGCGGGCTACTGTTTCGGCTGTGATGTCAGGTAGCGGAATGGCTTCTGGCCATCGGGTGAAACGAACAATGCAAGTAAGGATGTAAGTGCATCCATTAGAGGGTGGCAATGGGCCAACTATGTAAATGTGTACATGATCAAATCGTGCATTTGGGCCTGTGAACTGTGATAGTGGTGCAGAAGTATGACGGTGAATCTTTGCTTGTTGACACTGAATACACGATTTTATCCAATTGCGCACATCACGGTTGATGCTGGGCCATACAAAACGGTCTGTGATTATTCGTGGGGTGGAACGAATACCAGGGTATGACAAGGAGTGAAACGAGCCAAATACGGCACGTCGTAAATCTTTGGGAACGAATGGTCGTGGATTTCCCGTTGACATGTCGCATGTCACAGTCTGGTCACATGATGGCAGAGGAACGTCTTTAAGAGAGTGAGGTTGCGGAGTGGTGAAGTTGTTGTAGTTCGTCACACTGTCGTTGCATTTGTGCCATCTGGCTGAAGTCGACAGGTGTGCTGGACTGCTCTGGGTGGAGGGAGTTGAGTTGCACACGCGACACGACATCAGCGGCGGGGTTTTCACCACCTTTAACATTTCTTATGCCACAAGTGAATTGTGAAACAAAAGCAAGGTTGCGAATCTCGCGTGGCGAGTGTTTGTCAGTTGATGGAGCGAAGGCATATGTGAGTGGTTTGTGGTCTGTATACATATGGAATTCTCAGCCCTCAAGAAAATGGCAGAAATGGCGAATGGCAAGGTACACGGCTAACGGTTCTCGTCCAAAGGTGCTGTAGCGTGTTTCAGCTGGCTGAAGCTTTTTGGAGAAGAACGAGATAGGCTGCCATGAATCATCGACCCACTGTTGGAGAACAGCTCCCACTGCCACATCCGAAGCATGCGTCATGATGCTCAATGGAGCGCCTGGCTTTGGATGTGTTAGGAGAGTAGCGTTGGCGAGGGCGGCTTTGATCTGATCAAAAGAGGCCATAGCAGCAGCATTCCATGTGATGTGGGGCCGACTTTTTGCCTGAATTGGTCAGCAGTGCCGTGAGAAGATGAAGGACTTGAGAACACTGTGGTATGAAGCGGCGAAAGAAACTGACTACTCCAAGAAATTCTCTCAGCTTGGTCAGTGTAGCAGGTTGAGGAAAGTTCAAGTTAACACTGACCTTCTCGTCGAGTGGGCGCACCCCTAGGCTGTCAATTGATGACCGAGAAAGTCGAGAGAGTTCACTCCAAATTGACATTTAGCAGGGTTGATGACAACTCCGTCCTGGTTGAGGTGATCAAACAGTAGACGAAGATGGTGTTCGTGCTGGTCTGTGTCGGAGCTGGCAACCAGCAGGTCATCAATGTATGCGTAGCAGAAATCCAGTCCTCGAGTAACTTCATCAATGAAACGCTGAAATCTTTGGGCGGCGTTGCGAAGGCCAAACGGCGTACGGACAAATTCAAAGAGTCCAAAGGGCGTAGTGATGGCAGTTTTCGGGACAGAGTCTGGTGCTACAGGGATTTGATGGTAAGCACGAACAAGGTCAATCTTGGAAAAACTGTTTTCCCGGAGTCCAGTGTTAAGAGTCAAAGATCTTTCACCGTAAGTAGAAATTTTGTTTGAAATTGCTACTTGCAGATCTTGACCCGGATTGGGATGAAGAGAATCGTGAGGGGAACAAGGAATTACACTGACCTGTGCCCCTGTGTCGATGAGGAATTGTTGTTTTGCTGCCTTGTCAGTAACGTAGAATAGGGGACTGGATGTGGATGGGCCAGCAGTGCTTGTCGCCACTAATTGCTGGCTGAGCCGTTTCCCGAAGACGAAGTGCCGGAAGAGGTACTGGTGGCACAGGGTGTCGTGCACTTGCGGGCCTGGGCGCCAAATTTTCGGTGATACCAACGGACGTCGGGAGAGGGATGATGGTTGTTATTGTGACGCTCACAGGTAGGACTGCGACTGCGACGATGGTTGCCACTACGTGACAGGGCTAATACCTGGGCCCGAAGTTGAGAGATGTCGTCTCTCAGTTGTTGGAAAGTAGTGGCCATCTGAGATGTGGAAGTGGCAGTAGGTGTCACCGTAGCAACTTGAGGGGTTGGAAGAGGGGCAACTTCCACAATTTTGTCAGCCAGCATAGCGAGTTACGGGCTGAGGAGCAGACGTGCTTAGAGTATCCATTCTCAGTCAAGAAATCAACAGGAGCAACTAATGATGTGCACAGGGTCACCAAATTATAGGGTCTTCATGAGAGTCAGTATTGATTCAGCGTTGTTACCAACTTAAGAAAGGAAAGTCTAAGTCACATGTCTTACCTGGATTCTTAGAACAATGACTGTGAGTGAATTATTTCACCTTAAAACAAAGTCCTTGGTGGATGATAGTACAAGCTTAAATGAAGCATGCTGAAGTGTGCCACAGCCTCTGGGCTAACAAGGTCAAATAGGCGGAAGCAATATACACCGTACAAGAGACTGTGTGAAGTTACAAGGAATATGCAGTGAGTAATATGTCTAAGAAATGGTAAACAGGATATATACAGGAAATGAAAAAGTTATCAAAGTTAAAAATGAAGATTCTGAATGCTAAATTCACTAAAAGAAATAAATGCAAATATTTCAAGTAATTGTGCAGAAAACGCTACAGAGCCGGGTGAGGACTATTACAATCGCCTTCTTAACTTACCTGTGTTCTTTCATAATAATTTGAAGTGGGTGAGGGTTTTTAGTCACCTGGAACCTTGTTGTAGTTTGGGAACTGTGTTGCTTAGTAAGGCAGTAGAGATTATTGTTTTATATGTCTACCCTATTGTGTTGTATAATTGCAAGTATTGTATTTGCTTGTGTGGTCAAGACTTATCAGTTATAAGCCATCGGTAAATTATTTATTTAGACTTGAGGGTTACCTGCTTATTGTGAGGGTTACCCTGATCACTTTGAGGGTTACCTGGTTATTTTGAGGGTTACCATGATCGCAGTGAGGATTACCCTGATCACCGTGAGTGTTACCCTGGTGTAGATTAAGGATAAGGTTGATCAATCACGTTAATGGTGCAGTTGACCACGTAGGACTATCTACCCATGAGAATATTTTGTATATAGTTAATTGCTTTTGTATATAAAGGATAACTGAGCACTGACATTGAATAAACCACTCATAGTTGCCTAAGAAATCACTGGTCACCGTGAGATTTAGTTCAGTCCTGTATCACTTGTATTGACATTTATTGTAATCTTTATTGACATTGGGATCAATTACCTAATCACAGAGCGGTGGTAAACTTCCACCAATCGAGCAGCCCCTAAGGCATAGTCCACCGTTCGTTAACTGATATCCCCCTTGCGTTTGGATAGCCGCTCATTCTTGCGTAAGGTTAAACAAATATATTTGTGGGGTTATGCCAGGTCAATTCTATCTCCAATCAGCCTAGTCTGCTGGTCTGCCACAAAAGGTGTCAGTTGTCCCGCCACACAGATTAAGAAAACACATGCAAGAGTAGTGTTAACGAATTATGGTGGCTTACGCTCCAAAGTTGATGATATGGCAGTTCTCAACCATAGTACTAAACCTGATTTTGTATGCGGAACTGAATCGTGGTTAGATTCGAGTTTCGGCAATGGTGAAGTATTTCCTGTCAATCACACAATCTTTCGAAAAGACCGGGAGTCAGCCGCTATCGGAAGGGGGTTGTCCAAGTAGTAAAAGGAGACCTTGTTACAAACACTTGTAATTCTGGAAGAAATTTTGAAATACTTTGGACTGACACTAGGATGAAGGGATGTAAACCCCTCATCATTGGAGTGTTCTATCGTCCACCAAGCGATACCAATGGGGATGCTATTCATAACCTTGGTCAATCTTTCTTGGATTTAGGAAATAAAATGAACTCATTATGATAATGTAGTTCTTACCGGAGACTTTAACTTGCCAAATATCTCCTGGGATAATCACTGCATCATAACTGGTAAGGGTGGTTGTGTAGGGAGGTTCCAAGTGATGGAATTGGGAATACAATTTTGGGATTTTGTAATTACCCATTTTAGGATTTTCCATATATTATACTTGCCTTGATTTTTGTCGAACAAAATTGTATACATGGTGCTCATACTACTGCAGTGCTATCTCTGCTAGCTGGAGTTCACCAAAACACTCACTGGAGGTCACACACAACAAATGAACTTCAACTTATTTGAATTTTGTACATGTAGTTCGTGATGATTCGAAAATTTAAATATTGCACATTACATGTTATTTGGGATTTTAGTTTGGAAGTTAGGCTGTAGGATTTTGTGGCACATGTATCGGTAGCATGTATGTACATGTGGCGTGGCCGCGTGCAGTCTGACTTCACGGGCGAAGGAGTAGTGAAGGATAAACTGTGTATTACACTGGTCTTAAGGTTTTTGCAGTGAGGAATAATTCAACTGGAAATGGATAACTGTTTACTGGGGATTGTAAACTATTTTTCTTTCAGTTGAACCAGGATGTCTCTGTAGGTTATGGACTATATTTTGTGCATTTAGGGACATTTGAGTGGATGTGATGAATGATGTGTGTGTGAGTTTTGGTCAGCTAGTGGCCTTGGTTGGCCTGGATAGTTGTGTTTCTTCCTTGATGCCCAATATAGACTCTGTGCCTACATAAACACACTGTAGTCATATTTTAAGTTGTACCGGACCATGTTTATCTTCAATTCTTCCTAATTATATTCTACAAATTGTAAGTCTTTAATGTAATTGGTTGTAGATTAAAACTAACGAGCGCCTGCCCATTTCCACAGGCCGGGTCTCTGATCCCAAACAATAAATCAGGAGAAGCACAGTTTTAGCGGTGAAAGCCGTGAGTTTTTGGACGATTTTGGACCTATGTAAAACAACTGCGCAAAGAAAGTTATGGTATCGCAGACCTGGAAAGCGATGGAATGATGGTCACTGATGACTTGGAAAGGCCAATGTATTAAATCAACAGTTCAAGAGTGTTTTCACTAAGGAGGGGGAAGGAGATGTTCCATCTTTGGGCACCAGTTCTTATAACCAGATTGGTCATCTGAGCATTACAAAGGACGGGAAGCTGTTTAGGGAACTTAATGTAAATAAATCACCTGGACCTGACGGCAATCCACTGTGGTTCCTAAATATGGGGGCAGAAGAGTTGGCCGCCCCTCTTCAAGATCTGTTCCAGTCTTCAATCAACACTAGATTCGTACCAAAGGGATGGAAGGAGGCTAACATAGCACCCATCTTCAAAAAAGGAAACAGAAACTGTCCTGCTAACCGGCCTGTCTCTTTGACTTTGGTCATATGCAAGGTAACGGAGCACATCATTCACAGTCATGTCATGAAACACCTGGATGATGAGAAGATTCTTACAGACTGCCAACATGGTTTCCGGGCTAAAAGATCAACGAAACTCAACTCATCTTGACAATCCATGATATTAGTAAGGAATTAAACAACAACAACTTTGTTGATGTTGCATTGCTGGATTCACTAATAAGGTTCCCCACTGCCGTCTATTAGAGAAGCTGCATTATTATGGTCTAGGAGAAGAAATTACCACTTGGGTGGAAAATTTCTTAAAGAATCGCATCCAACCTGTCGTTGTCAATGGGCATTTCTCAGCACACATCTGGAGTGCCACAGGGGACTATGACGGGGCCTCTTTGGTTCTTATTGTACACCAATGATGAATGCCAAACAACATCACCTCCAATACCAGACTATTTGCAGACGACTGCATCCTCTACACACCAGTGTCAGCAGACCAAGATACAAGTGCACTTCAGCATGATCTACAATCACTAGAAGGCTGGCAAGACACTTGGATGATGGACTTTAATCCCAATAAATATTATATACTGACCATTGGGAAGAGGAACCCACCTCTACACTCCTACAACTCCAAACGCAAAAGTTCTTCTCAAATTATCATGCAGTTTTCCTGCAAGCTGCACAGACTATGCCAGCCGTGGCGAAGCATGTACATATCCTGTACATGTACAGTGTACATGTGTATATCATCATGATCACGTACATTACCTTTCACGAGACATGCTAGCCACCGGAGCTTTTAAACGTGTGAATGCGGCTAGAAAGCGAAAGTTACACGAAGATTCTTCCTCTGAAGCTTCATCTTCTTCCCCTAAAGGCTAAAAAGCTCTGGGCTAGATAAAGATTTTTTCTGGCAGATCTTCAAGACTAGCTCTCATGACTCTGACTGAGTCTGGCAATGTCTGGTGTGTTGCCTGCAGTGTAAGACTGTATGTTAACTTGCATGCATCATGGACATGATGGGGGACAGTAGAGTCGTTTATCACTCGACATGGGAAATGTGTCAAGCATGTCAAGGATAAGCTGTTGCAGGCAGAAATTTCTGATGGAGGTAAGCTGCCAACTATCAGGCAAGGGCATGTTGATTGAAGTAGCTGTCGAAATTAAATAAATAATAATTTACAATGTAGATCTATATTAGTATTTTAATTTTAGCCCATCATGCCCACCACTGAAGCTATTTCTAGTAACTTGGACTCGACGAGTGGACCTTTCCCGTGAAATACACAAATAAGGCAGGAGCATGCACATTACTACCACAAGTTTGCAAAGTTGTTATAAATCTACAGACGTAACAATACAAATCCTCATGCTGCAGTGTGATTCAATCTAACCAGAACTGGCAGCATTAAGCAGTAGACCCTTAAACAAGGCCCTTCTCTCAGGTCCTGGATATGGATACATGTACACTTTTGAAAGTTTCACCCATCAACACCCGCATATTCCCTTAAAATGACAACCTGCGAATGGCTGGTTGCATTAGTAATGAACGCACTGATGGAATTTCAGCTCATAAAATGTAGCAGATGTCAGTGGGTGAAACTTTTGAATATTTGAAAGCTGTTTTTATACATCTGTCCTGGACCCAAGCATTGACAGAGTGTACAAAGAGTCCTGATGAAGGGTCCATATTGAGCAGCAGCCTTTATTTGGACTGATAACACAGACAGCGCAAACAATCATTCCAAAAATGTCATTTAACAAAATGGTTAGAAGATTAAGAGCACAAGAAAGATGGTTTAAATTGTGTTTTCTTTTAAATTTCTTTTCCAGGAATGCTTCGTCAAGCAGCAGAGAGCAAAAGAGACGAGAATGTCTTGATACACATTTGGGACAAAGATTGTGTCGCTCTGGAGGTTGGATATCGCACCTCTTGTTACAAATCATACACTCAGTTCTGACAAGGAGAAGCAAGGACCCTGAAGGGTAAGCTGCAGACAATATCTGACTGATGTGTTTTCCTATTTTTTACTCAGGTTAAAAATATCTTCTTTATTTTTTATGAAACAATTTTTGCCTCATGTCTTTCAGTGCCCATTATCAATATTTTAGGCTCCTTTAAAAATTAGGGTCATGTTCATGATCCTTGTGAATAATGGTGACAACAGTGAAGGAAATCATTTTTTATATTTCATTCAAAAATCTGATTAAAACCACAATTTGTGATGATTGGAAACAAGCACTTGTTCCAGCTCCCACTGTGCTGTAGTGTCCTCATTTGCATGTCAGACACTTTTTGTAACTGTTGGATCATATCAATTCTATCCAAACCTTTTAATATATTGGCAAGTTGAAGTACGTACTCGTAGTTGTCTTTCGTGCAGGGCATTCTGCAGAGTTACAAGTAAGTGCCCACATATCACCATTCTGACTCATTGAATTGAACAAGAATAATTCCACAGGAAGGCCAAGTCACTTTTTCCCATTTTTCTCTTCCATTTTCTCAAAATAGGTTCAAAAGGGTGTGATGGGAAGATCTGTTTGGATGAAGTTACCAGTATAAAAAGCGTAGTTTACTGTCTGATTGTATTGAAGGAGTGAACTTCAGATGGAGCACCAAGAGGCCTGCGAGATGTTCAACAGAGATAGTGATAGTCCAGGAAATCGTGGGTATGTCGAAGATTGATCAACTGTTGTGACAGTGATTAAGAAGCATGACGGAACTGAACTGATCGAACAAGTATGATAGGTTGACAGTTAGTCAAATTGTCCAGTGTTTACAAAATTGACTGCTAATAAAATGTTCAAATCAACAACTGTTGACATTGCATTTGGAAGAGGTGTTGCAAAGGCTGTGTGAAGGAAAGCTGTTGCATAGGCAGTGTGTGAAGGAAAGCTGTTGC